TTAGAATGGGTGGGGATCACGTACTCGACGTTAGCAACATGTTTGGGGCATGGGTGCAAGCAGCCGAGCGTGCCATTCTCTCACAGCACGGTAAGAAGCAGGCAGGTCGGTCGCGTTCTCAGTGGCCAGCTCTTGCTGTTGAAGTCGTGCAGAGGCCAGAACATGTGCGCTCGCAACCTCGCGCGGATTCTCTAGCTAGCTGGTGGGCGCGGGCCCATGTTATTCTTCTGCGGCTCCATCGGCATAGGGTTCGATGCAACGGTAGTCATCAGGTTGGGAAGCTTGTTGAAGTTGGTAAAGTTCGTTTGGGAGATCTGCCTGAGGGAGTTCACACAGTCTTGCCGACGAGTCAGGGGGCTTTCAGCTGGGATCAATGGCGGTCGTTCCTTGGGGGCCTGGGGGACCTGGACGTCGGGACTCTCGAAGTCTTGAAAAATGTTTCGGAGCGGGCCTCGAAGAGGGCTCGGGGACGTGCGGTGCACGCCTCCCTTAATCGGTTTCAACAGTGGATCGTAGAAGAAAGCTCCCTAGGTGCAGCATCTAAGTCCCTGCGCAAGGTCCCATATGCTGCCGAGGAGTTTGTTACCCAGGGGGAGAGGGTCTTTAACCCCAAGGACATCATAGATTCCAAAGTATTTCACCGGCAGCAATTGTGGACCGCAGATGCGCTTGATATCGCAGGTTTGGAGGACCTTTTTGGCACCATCAAGGCAGCTGCAGAATACGATCCTCTCCCTCCTCTCACCATTGCTGATGTCAGGGATGCCTTGAGGAAGATCAAGGGGAAGGCTGGGATGGGAATTGATCGTCTCTCTCCTCTCGACTTCAAGCGCTTGCCTGACGAAACATTAGCCGAGCTTTGCATGCTGTGCTCCGCCATCGAAGAGTGCAAGACATGGCCGTGGCAGACTATGATGGTTGTGGGGAGGTTGTTAGCAAAGAAACCGGGAGGGGATAGAGTGATAGGCCTCATCGCGATGCTGTGTCGCGTCTGGAGTCTCGCCCGTGAACCGTGTGCTCGGGAGTGGTCGGCGTCGCTCACATCATCTTGGGACGCTGCTATCGCATGCAATAGTGCACTCAGGGAAGCATATCTCAGGGTCCTGGAGTCCGAGGTGGCAGCGCAGTTGGGGGCGACGGTCGGTCAGACCAGATTTGGCATCAAGAGTTTTTACGATCACATCCAGTGGCCGCGGCTTCTTTCTGCTGCTTTGAGATTAGGATACCCGCCCGTGCTGCTCTTTCTTGAGTTACAGACATGCCTGGCGCCCAGGTTGGTTTCGCAGCTCGGGGCGTATTCGACAGCATTTCAGCCTACTCGCAGCGTGGTACAAGGATTAAGGAACGGTACTGGGTTCGCTCGGTGCGTTACATTCTTCGTCATGCGGAAGATGTGTGTCGCACATGTGCATAAGAGTCAACGGTTATGGATAGACGACCTCGACGGTTCGGTCGTCGGCTCGGAGAGCGCAGTACGCACGGAGCTGGAGGCTAGTATTCGAGATGCACACGATTTTTTTTCAGGCTGAGGACCTCACCTTGGCGGACAAAAGTGTAGTGCTTTGCTCCAGTCACCGCGTGGCACGGCAAATTTCAGCAAGGCTTAAGAAGATAGGCATTCCGACCAAACCTGTTCTTCAAGCAGCGTACTTGGGAGTCGACCAGGGAGTTGGGAGGCGTCCTGCGAGGGCTACTCGAAGACAGAGGGTTATCAAGGGGAACGGTCAGAATGCCAAGCTTAGGAAGTTCGCCTGGGTCTCGAAGCGGTACCTGGTGACCAAGAAAGTGGAGTTGGGAGGGCCCCAGGCGGCCTCTACTTATGGGATGCAGGTCTACGGCGTCTTTGGGAGTCAACTCTTGGGGCTTCGGAGGCGTCTCGGAGCTGTCTCGGGAGCGGCCAAAAAGGGGCGTTGCTTAACCACACTGTTGGACATTAGGACCCCTGGCTGCGATCCTGGGATCAGGCTCCCTGTCTCTTGCAGTCGTGAGTGGTTGAGGACCTGGATTTACGAAGCACATACGCGCGCTGGCATCAGACGCGCGTGGACACAGGTTCTCACCAAGTTTCAGAGTCTCCAGCCCAATGAGTATGCCAAGCATATCAGAGAACCCATGTCCGCAACCATCGCACATTTGCTGCAGGTTGGGTGGGTTCCGCGTGCTCCTGACGCTTGGGAGGTCCCCAGAGCGGAGGATGGCACGACCAGTGAGTGGCAGTTCCACGATGATCAGCTCGTCGGGATGGATCAGACAGTCGATTTGCTTGCTTAATTCGAGCGCGATCAGGCAGCTCTGCGTTGGCGCCAGGCGGCCTCTCACTTTTGCGGCGCTGGCCTGGAGGGTGGAGCCAATAATGTTTCCCACCGCAAGCTGGTGCAAGAGCTGCAGCAGGTGCGGAAGGGCAGGCAACTGGCGGAGGTGTTAGTTAATATTTCCGTGGGGGGGTCCTGGACGCAATCCCGAAGGAAGGACGTAGGTCTTATCACTGATGATCTTTGTCCCAGATGTAGGAAAGTGCGGGAGGACCCCCTCCACAAGGCCTGGTTACGCGAGTGCAACACGGGTCACAGCATTTACACCGATACTGGTAAGTGTTGCTCGGAAGCTGTTGCACAGAGTGAGATGTACGCTTGCTTTTGGTTGAGGGGGGTTATTCCCTCTAGTTGGCTGCAGGTCGACCCGCCCAGCAGTGTTGAGAAGTGGCAAACTTATGGCATCAATGATTCGGTTTTGTATCCTGGGTGTCTTGGAGTCGGCCAGAGCGACGACCCCGTCCTTGTCTTCGGGGACGCGTCGGGGGGGCCTGATTCCAAAAATCCCTTGTTTCGGCGGGTCGGCCTTGCAATGGCCACTTTGAGCAGTTTCTCGCCTCCTGTTATCAATACGGCTATATTCGGCCCACTGGTGGGCCCTCGGCAAACTGTTCCTCGGGGTGAGTTGGTGGCCTTAGAGATCACCATCAAGTACACCATGGGTCCCATCGTCTATGTCGCTGACAATGAGGAGGTGGTGGAAGGGTGGTGGGCCCAGAAGTTCCAGAATCCCTCGGGCGAGCTTGCGTCGGTCTGGAGATCCACCGGCAGGATTTTTAAGACCAAAATCGACCTGTGCATGAAATTGTCGTGCTGTGGACTCCGTCTCATGTCGGCCCCGAGGAAGCCCTACGGCGTGGTCTTCCTTCCTTCCTGGGCATCGGGAACACTGTTGCGGATGAGATTGCTGGGGAATGTGCACGTCAGATTCGTCTGCCGCAAAATGTACGGACACGGGTGCTGGAGGTTGAGGGCAAGGCCAGTATGGTGAGGAAACGACTAATGAGAGCTACCTTGGACACCATGGCGGTGACGAACAAGAGAGCTGATCCATCGTCTTCTTCCCAGGCTGCTGCTGCTGCTCCTCCCCCTCCCCCTCCCCCTCCCCCGCCGCGGCCACCGCCGTCCCCTGCCGCTATTGCACTGTTTGGGTCGTCTCACCAGATCGACGACAAGGGTAGGAGGTGCACGCGGTGCTTCTCTACGGCCAGCCGTGCTACTCGGGCGGCATGGCTCTGCACGCCGTGCTGTCCGCCTGAGGCCGTGGGCGGGGGTTTGTCCAAGGCGGCCCCAGGGTCATGAGCCGTGCACATTGGTGGTTCTTTCGCGCACTCGTCACATCATATGTATTCCCACACGTGTAGTGACATGTGGTTTTGTCGTGTGTGTTCTCGTTTCGGTGCCGAGCAGATTCGGGACCTCGGCAAAGTTTGTACTACGGCCAACCTCACGCCCAAGAGGCGAGAGACTCTCGATCGCCTGTCCAGGGGCCTCAAGCCCAAGGAGTAGGCTCTCCTGTTGTAACGCTTCGCGTTTGTCCGGTTCCAGTTCCAGTTCCAGCTCTCCATGCCTCCTCTTCGTCCTCCGTCTCTATCCCTCGTCCTCCTTGTCGTCCTCGTCCCACCTCGTATCGCTTCTCCTCCTCCTCCTCCTCCTCCTCCTCCTCCTCCTCCTCCTCGTGATCTTCCTCCTCGTCTTACCCCTGCCCCTAAGATTGACAAGCCCAATGCGTTTCAAAGGGCAGACAGAAGGCGAGAGAAAGCAATGAGGTTCCATGAAGATCCGCTCGGAGGAAGAACACTGCTGGCTGTTTTGTTGTTCGGGTAGCACCTCCCTTGGTCAGTTTGATTGGACAGTGAACAGAACTACTTGACAATGAACTTAATTCAGTCGGACCTAGGCCAGAAGAACCTCCTTCAAGAACATGAGACCCTCCCTCAACCAAAGCAAGCAAACTATTCAAGGGTATCCTCCCCAGGATGCACAAGAACATCCAACTAACACGAAGAACATTAGAGTACCCTCCCCGAACCGACCTCGATCTTCTACCTCGGTCCGACCATAGCGTATCCCTTGGCATGTTAATTGGGTATTGACCAGCACTACTTGATAATATATATACGTTGCTTATAGATATGGCGCAAGTAACATCTCAACAGTACGACTCAGTAAAAACTCGTACGTTAACGGTTTGTCGTAACATGTATGTTGATAGTCGTGCATTCTTGGCCGACTTGTGTTGTCAACTGTGGAGCGATATCAGCGGCAAGAAGGTCCGAATAAAAAGCCGAATGCACAAAATCAATGAAAACTAATGTGTGCACCCTCTCTTCAGACACCCATTTCAGAAAACTGCCAGCTTCCCAACTGATGGGAAGGGTCTCCACCATGCAAGAATTGTCAGGATAGGAGGGGGAATAGGCCGAAAGGGAAAAAAACAGAAGGAAGAGAGATGAAACTGCATCCACATATCCAGAGATCAGGCCCAGGGCGGGTGGCCGGAAACTGAACACCACAGGAACGCACAATAATATTAAGAACCTTGCCAACATGCCGACAACGTGACTGACACGCGCGGGTCAAGATTTGTGAGCCCTAATGCGATGACAATCTCACGGATGTGACCTCAGAAACCTAGAGAATCCTTTAGACCAGCGTCGAGAAAAGGTGATGCGAATCATGGGGAAATGGATATGCTTCAGGCTGATAAGTCTCTTCTTCTTGTTGGCATCAACAAAACTCCATCTTCTACTATTTTCGTTGCGCGGACTCAGATACTGGTGGCCGACGCATCCAACGAACGATTAGATCCAGCCTGTGCAAAGCCTCTGGCAAATCAAAAACTGGTGGCACGCAGCAAGAGTGACGTGAGGCCAGTAGTGAGGAGAGCAAGGATAAAACCCAGCTAGGGCGTAGAGTATGTGCTCGTCCAGTCGAGGAGAGGTGGGGCCGTCCTCCTCCTCCTCCTCCTCCTCCTCCTCCTCCTCCTCCTCCCCCTCCTCCTCCTCCTCCTCCTCCTCCTCCTCCCCCTCCTCTTCCTCCTCCTCCTCCTCCTCTTCCTCTTCCTCCTCTTCCTCGGCTTCATCATCATGATCCTCCTCCTCCTCCTCCTCCTCCTCTTCATCGTCATCATCATCATCATCATCATCATCATCATCATCATCATCATCATCATCATCATCATCGTCATCTTCATCATCATCATCATCATCAGCATCATCATCAGCATCAGCATCAGCGTCATCATCGTCATCATCATCAGCATCAGCATCATCATCATCATCAGCAGCAGCAGCATCATCATCATCGTCATCGTCATCCCGATCCCCATCCCCATCCCCATCCTCTTCCTCTTCCTCGTCATCATGATCATCAACCACAACCGCAACACTATCACCAACGCCGATACTATCACCATAACTATACTCCTCCTCATCCTCCCCCTCCCTCTCAGCGTTCACCTCCTCCCACTCATCATCGTCATCATCATACCACCACCACCACCACTATCATCATAATCATCAGCATCATCATCACCATCATCATCATCAGCAGCACCATCATCATCAGCATCATCGTCATCATCATCATCATCGTCATCATTCCTCATCATCATCAGCATCATCATCATCGTCAGCATCATAATCGTCATCATAATCATCATCATCAGCATCCCATCATCATCAACAGCATCAGCAGCATCATCGTTGGCATCAGCAGCAGCATTCTCATCAGCATCAGCGTCAGCAGCATCATCATCAGCAGCAGCATCCGCATCATCATCATCATCATCATCCATCATCATCATCATCAGCATCAGCATCAGCATCAGCATCAGCATCAGCATCAGCATCATTAGAATCAGCATCATCATCAGCATCATCATCAACATCATCATCAGCATCATCATCCTGATCCTCATCATCCTCATCATCCTCATCATCCTCATCCCCCTCCTCCTCGCCGTTCTCCTCAGCGCGGAGCGTTGATGCGCGGGTCTCAGACCGCAGGTCGGAGCCAGTGCCCGCCGAGAAGGACACAATTAACGCAGTTGGCTTTCTCGCACGCGCCGGCGCCGGCGCTGAAGCTGACGGCGTTGAGCTCCAGCCTCGCCTTCCGCATCTCGCCGAGCATGGCCACGGCCCACTGCCAATGCTCGCCTTTCTCGCACGCACTGGCCACAGCGAAGTAGCTGACTTGTGGACCGATGCCTGCGACCGCGTGAGCGCGAGCGAACGCAAAGGCGGAGGGCAAACCAGGGCAGGGGCACACGACGGAGGGGCCAGCGCGGGCGCTGGCCTGAGGAGCCGGGGGCACGGAAGGAGGAACGAATGAGAAAAGGACTCAGGGGCAGCGATAAGGGGGAACCAGCCCAGGGGGAAGGCATCGAGCCAGAATCGGCGATGCATCGCCGACCGATCGGCGACGGGCCCCCGATAGCGACCTCGCACGAACCTGGGCGAGGTGGGCAACGGGGCCCGCAGAGTGGGCGACCGGGGGCCGAGGTATCCTCCCCTTGGCCCTGTCCAGAGGCCTCCCAGACGGGATCGGAGCAGACGAGGTCGGAGGATCGCGCCGCCTCGCCGATGCATCGGGTGATGCATCGCCGATGCAGCGGCGGTGCAGCGGCGATGCATCGGCGACTGCGGCGATGCAGCGGCGACATCGACGTGAAGCAATCGGGCGGCACATCGCCGACGCATCGGCGATGCATCGGCGATGTGGCGCGATCCTCCGACCCCATTTACTCCGACCCCATCTAGGAGACCCAGACTGTTCCCCACCCCCGCAGTGTGGCGGAAGGCGTGTCCGTGGGCCGCGCCGGCAGCTCCGGAGGCCGGGCAGGCGGTGCGTCCGGTTTTCGGCGGTGTGGTCGGGATTGCGGTGTCTGCGGTACTCCATTTCTGGTGCGGGCACTGGCTGCACAACGAGGTGCCTTCCAGAAGAAGCGCGCAAGCTCGTTCGCAGACCAGCCTCGCCTACAATGTCATGTCTCTCTGAGCCGTTACTTGGCAGCACCGTTTGCCCGCCGTTGCTGAAGGCACGGCTGTAGGGAACGTCACCAGCTCAGCGTTGCCGATCACGAACCAGCGTCAAGTCGGACGGACGCGCTCTCAGAACACGATTTTGCCCTGGACACCCCGCCGAAGAGAGAGCGGAGGGCGTGGCTGCACTCGAACAGATAGTCACCCACAGCGAGTTCGTGCAAAACTTCCACTGGCTGAGAGATGTTAATGATCCACTCGCCACTCGGTGGCCACGCTTTGGTTAAGAGAGCACGGGCGCTCTCCCTCTTCTTGGCGACGGTACGAGCCAGCTGAGAGATGCTGATGATATAGACGACGGCTATGGTGACGGTGATGTCGGGCTTTAACTTCGCCTCCCCCATCTGGTGGAGCAGCGACAAGGCGTGCTGCCACTGCTCCCCGCTGCAGCAGGAAGTTATCACAGCGTTGCAGCTGATGACGTCCGCCTCAACCTCCACCTCTCGAATCTCGTTGAACAGCGAAAGAGCCTGCTGCCACTGCTCGCCATTCCCGCACGCGCTGATCCCATTACTGTAGAGGACTGGTGCGAACCTGTGGAATACATCCACGGTTTGCTGAACCTGGAACTCGCAAACCGTAGGACCAATCCACAGAACAGGGCGTCAAAGCCGAATAGTTAGTTGGATGGTTCGAGACGACACCACTCCCCTTACGGCCCCTACGGGCCTTAGCATATACCATGAATTCTGGCTTGAAGTTTTCGCGTGATATACGCTACGGCGCCCGATGGGACGCAGCGCAAAAATGGGGGGCCGCACGTGGGGTGGTGTCGTATGTTTCCCCATATCCTAAGGATGGGGTTATTGATGTTACTTTGACCGCGCAGAGAACGAGAGAGAACACCCCTCCCGCCCTCAGGTCATCATTCTGTGACTCACTCACATGTAGACTCTCACAGATTCAGACTCACTCATACACAGATGCATTTGCTCTTAGATTGCTGATACTCAGGTTTCTCATGCTCGGGCTCACTCATAAGAAGACTCACTCACATTCCAAGTACTTCCGCGCTCAGATCCACACACACACACACACACACACACACACACACACGTTGTGAGGATGTCTCAAGCGAGGCGATGGTTTCAGCACTCCCAAGGGGGGCGCCAGGGGGTATATCACAGGCCCGGTCGCGCCCAGATTGGGGGGATGTATCAGGCGGTTTGCCTGCTTCGGTGCCCAACATCCTTCTCTGTCGGAGCAGTTTCCGAGGATGTCTCAGGCGAGGCGCTGGTTTCAGCACTCCCAAGGGGGGGCGGCCAGGGGGTATATCACGGGCCCGTTCGCGCCCAGATGGGGGGGATGTCTCAGGCGGTTTGCCTGTTTCGGTGCCCAACATCCTTCTCTTTCGGACCAGTTTCCGAGGATGTCTCAGGCGAGGCGCTGGTTTAAGCACCCCTATGGGGGGGCCGCCATTCTCTTTCGGACCAGCTTCCGAGGATGTCTCAGGCGAGGCGCTGGTTTCAGCACTCCCAAAGGGGGGCCGCCAGGGTCACGGGCCCGTTCGCGCCCAGATTGGGGGGATGTATCAGGCGGTTTGCCTGTTTCGCTGCCCAACATCCCTTCGGAGCAGTTTCCGAGGATGTCTCAGGCGAGGCGCTGGCTTCAGCACTCCCAAGGGGGGCCGCCAGGGGGTATATCACAGGCCCGTTCGCGCCCAGATTGGGGGGATGTATCAGGCGGTTTGCCTGTTTCGGTGCCCAACATCCTTCTCTGTCGGAGCAGTTTCCGAGGATGTCTCAGGCGAGGCGCTGGTTTCAGCACTCCCAAGGGGGGGCGGCCAGGGGGTATATCACGGGCCCGTTCGCGCCCAGATGGGGGGGATGTCTCAGGCGGTTTTCCTGTTTCGGTGCCCAACATCCTTCTCTTTCGGACCAGTTTCCGAGGATGTCTCAGGCGAGGCGCTGGTTTAAGCACTCCTATGGGGGGGCCGCCATTCTCTTTCGGACCAGCTTCCGAGGATGTCTCAGGCGAGGCGCTGGTTTCAGCACTCCCAAAGGGGGACAGCCAGGGGGTATATCACGGGCCCGTTCGCGCCCAGATTGGGGGGATGTATCAGGCGGTTTGCCTGTTTCGCTGCCCAACGTCCCTTCGGAGCAGTTTCCGAGGATGTCTCAGGCGAGGCGCTGGCTTCAGCACTCCCAAGGGGGGCCGCCAGGGGGTATATCACGGGCCCGTTCGCGCCCAGATGGGGGGGATGTCTCAGGCGGTTTGCCTGTTTCGGTGCCCAACATCCTTCTCTGTCGGAGCAGTTTCCGAGGATGTCTCAGGCGAGGCGCTGCAGCACTCCCAAGGGGGGGCGGCCAGGGAGTATATCACGGGCCCGTTCGCGCCCAGATTGGGGGGGTGTCTCAGGCGGTTTGCCTGTTTCGGTGCCCAACATCCTTCTCTTTCGGACCAGTTTTCGGCGCTCAGAGGAAAAGAGGAAGAGGAGGAGGAGGAGGACAAGGAGGAGGAGGAGGAGGAGGAGGAGGAGGAAAGAAGGAGGCAGCAACTAGGTAAAGTCGTCGTAGTCGTCGGCGCCTCTCTCGGCTTCGTCTTCCACATGAAGTCACTGACAGATGCACATGTGGGGATCTCCGCGTCGAGTAATTTCTGGTCGAGTTTGGGAGCCCGCCTTGAGCCCTCTTCGGCAGCTCTTGAGGCCGTTGCTGGGGCCATTTGGGGGATCTCCCGAGCCGTCTCCGGGGGCCTCTCGGGCTTTCCTGGGGCCGTGCCGGCGGTCTCGGGCCGTGTTGGAGCCCGCTGTGGGGACCTGCTGGGCGGCTCCTCGGCTCGGGCCCCCAGGGGACTGCCTTGGGGGGCCACCGCGGGCTCCACTCGGATCTCCTGTGGCTCGCTTGGGCGACATTGGGGCCCCCGTTGTGCCGTCTTGGGGGGTCTCCTGGACCGTCTCCGGGCGGCCCGAGACGCCACTCGAGCCGCGTGGGGCCGTTCTTGGGCCGCAATGGCGAGGATGTGAAACCCTTTCAAAAACCTTTGGAAAATGCAAAATCGGGGCCTCGGAGGGACTGTCATTCGGGTTCTCTTGGGCCGTCTGTGGAGACTCCTGGCCTGTCAGCGGGCCCCCCTCAGGCCATCATGGGGCTCCGTTGGGGTCCTCTTCGGCCGTCCTGGCGCCCTCTGGAACGCCTCAAAACTGTCTTGGGCTGTCTGAGGCCGTCTTGGCGCCATCTGGAGACCCTCTGGAGCGCCCCAGTGGAGCGCCCCAGGGGCCCTGAGGGCGCTCCGGAGGGCGCTCCGTGGCGGTTCGAGCAGCTCGCTAACTTCGCGTGCGCCGCGGCTGGAATTGCAGTACAGATTTATCACCGCGGCCGGTGACGTCGGGCTCTAACTTAGTCTCCCACATCTCGCTTAGCAATGACAGAGTGAGCTGCCACTGCCTGCCCTTCTCGCACGCGCCGATCATAGAGCAGTAGCTGATGACGTCGGGCTTCAACGTCACCTCCAGCATCTCGTTGTACAGCGACAGAGCCTGCTGCCACTGCTCGCATTTCCCGCACGCGCTGACCCCAGCGCTGCAACCGATGACCGTTGGCTCCACCTTCGCCTCCGACATACTGTTTAGAATCGACAGAGCGTGCTGCCATTTCCTGCCTTTCTCGCACGCGCTGATCCCAGAGCTGAAGCTGGTTGCATCGTGCTCCAACTTAACCTCCCGCACCTCGTTGAACAACGACAGCGCATGTTGCCACTGCTCGATTTTCCCGTACGCGCTGATCCCAGAGCTGTAAATGGTGGCATCAGGCTCCAATTTCGCATCTCGCATCTCGCTGAACAGCGACAAAGCCTGTTGCCACTGCTCGCCTTTTCCACACGCGCTGATCCCAGCGCTGTAGCTTACAACGTCGGGATCCACGTTCGCCTCCAACATCTCGCTGAATAGATACAGAGCGTGTCGCCACTGGTCGCCCTTCTCGCACGCGCTGGCCAACGCATTGTAGCTGACTAGAGCTGACCTGTGGCCGATTGGCAACGCAATATATCAGAGATGACACGCTGGGCCAGGGCGGAGATGCTGCCGTGGGCGAGACGTGGGCCAGGGAGCCTGTCATGATGACGATGGGCTCGAACTTCGCCTCTGTTGCTGCCCTCGGTTGCAGGGCTCCGCAGTCAGCTGCCTGCTGGTGCTGCTCGCTGCGGACTGCGTGCTGTCGGCGTGGGGATGGACAGACCCCCCCTTAGCAAAACGTGGCTCAGTGAAAGCGACCTCGGGCCCAAACCTGGCGGACGCAAGCCTGGCAAATGACGGCCGCGGCGCCCTCCCGACGGACACCTCACTAATCGACGTGTCAGGGTGGGGGTTCTGTCCACCCCCGATCTTGGGGGCGGGGGCGGCTGAATCAGCCACCTTCTCGAGGAGCTCAGGGAAGTCTGCGCAATCACCTCGGGGGCCCCTGGCCTGCTGGGCCCCACCGTGGCCTGTCTTCGGGCCCGCGTGCTTGGGGGCCGAGCGGGGCACCGATGCCCGAGGAGCTCACGGACTTCTGAATACCTCAGCCCTGGGCCCGCTGGGCCCCGCCGTCCTCCTCCTCCTCCTCCTCCTCCTCCTCCTCCTCCTCCTCCTCCTCCTCCTCCTCCTCCTCCTCCTCCTCCTCCTCCTCCTCCCTCCTCCTCCTCCGCCGCCTCCGCCTCCGCCTCCGCCTCCTCCTCCTCCTCCTCCTCCTCCTCCTCCTCCTCCTCCTCCTCCTCCTCCTCCCTCCTCCTCCTCCTCCTCCTCCTAGTCGCCGTCGTCCAGCTCAAGAAGAGACCTCACCTGACAGAGAGGTCTCAGAGTTCCCATTTGGAGACCACGAGGGCCACCCGACCCCTCAGGCCAAGAGGAGGGGGGCCCGCCTGGGGCTGTCCAGGGCGGTGCTGGGGGGCGATCTTGGGCCCCGCCTCGGGGGCGTCTTGAGGGAACTCATGGGGCCTCTTGGGGATCTCTGGGTGCTGTTCGGGCAAAGAGTCTCTTTGACCCCGAGAACGATGAAAACTGCCGGCTTCCCAAGTGGTGGGAAGGGGACTCCACCAAGCAGAAACTGATGTACATCCGCCCTCGGCTGCAGAGCCAGCCGAAGTTTGCGTCTCGAAACTCGGGTGCTCTTCGGGCAAAGGTGTTGGGGACAGGGCGGTCTGGGGATGCCTTGGGGCCATGGTTGGGGTGGTCTTGTAGGACGTCTTTGGGCCGTCTCACGGGCATGCTGGCGGCCTCTGTGACCGACTGAGAGGCCACTCGGGCCGCACTGGGGAACTGTAAGCGAAATCCAGCGAACGGGGGGTGACCTGGAAGCCTTCTTGGAGTGCCTCTGGGGCTCCTTGGGTCGTTCAGGGGCCATCTTGGAGCGACCTTGGACCGCCCTGGGGCTCCTTTTGCCGTCTCCGAGCCCTCTTGGGCCCCCAGGAGCCTCTCTTGGACCGTCTTCGGGACATCTTGGGAGCTCTCTCGGGCCCTCTTGCAGTGTCGCGGGGTCGCGCCCGGCCTGGCCGGAGGCGCCGACACCTCCTCGGTGCAGGACCCTTCTGGCACGCGCGAGGACCTCCTATGTAGAAGAGATTTGGGCTGGCGGCAGGCCCGTGGTATGACTAACGTCCACGAGCGCTGGGGCGCAAGGAAGCTCATGGGCGCGTGGATACGACAAGAGGCGCTAGCGTCGCCGGCGCTGGCCAGTGGGTTCACTGGCTGGGCCCGCGGGGCGCGAGGGGAAAGAGCTAATGGCGAAATGCAAGCACAATAACAAAACAAAATACACCATGCGAGGGGGAGGTGTCCGAATACATTGCGTACGAAGCGCAAACTTGTAACGTGCCGGGAGAGGACCCACTGCCAAGCGGAACAAGCGCTCGTCGGATCGTGCATAACCTAGCGGCCGAGTGCAAAGAAGAAGGATGGTGTTCACCTGGTCCTCTCACGTTTGTCGACGCGCGCTCTCTGGACCGCACCCGCCTCACATTCACGTTGCCGAACGAAGTCGGTGCGCGTGGGTGAGCCGTCTTAGAGAGCGCTGTTTCCCCCGGCAGCAAGAAGTAACATCAACCACAACACCAATAATACCAAGACAAAACAACCTGCTGGTGTACACGGGACGGCCCTCCAGCTCGCCGTTCCGCAACATGTGGGAAATCCTCAGAAACTTATGAAAAACTCCGTACTAAAGAATCTTGACCAAGGAATTCTCCAGTACAGTCAAAAATCCGGAAACAATCCTCGGGAATCCTCAGCAATCCCAAGGAATCATGATTAATGGATCCCCAACAGTCCTCAGGAACACTTGGGGATCACAAAGATTCCAATGGAATTTTCAAGAAACCCCAGACATCGCTTCGAATCGCAAGGAGTCCTGAAAAAACTCCAAGAATCCTGAGAAACCCTCTGGAATCCTGAGAGAGCCTGAGTAATCATTGGGAATCCTCCGGAATCCCCAAGAATCGTAGAATCCTATGGAACCCTCTGGAATCCTCTGGGATCCTCAGGAACCCTTCAGGGTCCCCAGAAATCCTCAGAAATAGAAACCATCGAAATCTCAGGATACGTAGGAATCCTTGTAGTCTTAAGACTCCTCAGAAATCCTCAAGAATCCCCAGAGATACAAACTTTCAGAATCACAAGGATGTCTCCAGAATCCTCAGAAATCCGAAAAGGAATCCCTAGGTATCCTCAAGAATCCAGAGGAATCCCCAGGAAGAATCACTCGGAATCCTTCTGCAGGAGTCCTACGGAATCCTCAGGGAATACCCGGAAACCATGGGAATTCCTCTGAACGATCTTACGAACCCAAAGAAATTATTATAAATCTTGACGTATCCTCAGACATATTGAAGAATACTCCAGATTCTGGAAGGATCCTGAAGAACCATTCCGTATCCTCAGGAGTCCTGCGAAATCGTCAGGAATCGTCACGGATCCACAGATATCTTCGAGTGACGTCTCAAGAGTCTAAAAGGAGTCCTTAAGAACCTTGGGGGCTCCTCAGTGATCCTCAAGAATACACAGGGATCCAAACCTTCGAAATTACAAAGATTACCCGTAAACCCCCAAAAGTCCTAAAGAATCCATTGGTCTCCTCAGGAACCCTGAGGAATCCTCCGGGGGGCCCAGGAATTCGTCGGACTCCGTCTTGAGGAAAAAAATAAATTCTCAAGGAGTTCCAAGAAACCTAAGGAGTCCACAAGAGAAAGCTTTGGAAACCATCACAAATCCTCAGGAATCCTGGAGGGTCCCGTGAATTCTCGAGGCATCATTAGGAACCACTCGGGAATCCCGGGAATCCCTCGGAGTCCTGCGGAATCGCCGGGAATCATCAGGGATCCTCAGACACATTCAGGAACCCCAGGGAATCCTTGAGAATCCTCGATTATCCAACCTCAGAAACCCTCGGGACACCATAGGGGTGCTCAGGAAATCCCCATGAGCTTTGCAGAGCATCAGGGATCCTCAGAAAACCGTATTCCACCCGATCCCCTGGCAATCGCCCTGGGTGGGGCTCCAGCACCCCCCCAGACTATTTTCTATTTGTTTTGGATTATGTTTGCTGTATTTTGCGTTTTTCATAGAAAATCCCCCTGTAGGGGACAGGCCCGACTTAACCCTACCCCTACCCCCCACGGTTTCCGAGGGGGAGGGTGGGGTTCACTTTGCTCGGGAGCTCCCGAACGAAGTGAACCCCACCCTCCCCCTCAGAAATCGTGGGGGGTAGGGGCAGGGGTAGGGTTCGCATGTGGCCCCCGATCTGGGGCTCGGGGAGCCGTCGTGGAGTGCTCTGGCAGGGACGCCCGGGAGGGGCGCAAGAGCCACACACTCAGCGCAGAGCCCTCCTGGAGGGCGCGCCCTGCCGCTCAATACTCGGCCAGAGGCCTGTGGGCTACGCCGGCAGTTGCGACGCAGGGCCATTCTCACGCGCAGAGTCTCAGAATCCTCGGTATTCGTACACATGCACACATCTATGTATAGAGGGAGATACATACACACGTACGTGCATGCGTGTGCGTACACGCATGTGTATACATGGAATCACGTGGGCACCTGTGTTTATACATACACGCCTATATCTATGTATGCACATATATATACACCAATAGACATGCATACATGTATCTATACATATATATATATATATATATATATGTGATATATGAAAATGAACAAATGTATATATTATATGAATGTACAAATGTGTATATATACAGTGGTGCTGACGTCGGAGGGTTGCTGACGTCGGGCTTCAAGTTCGCCTCCTGAACCTGCCTCAGCAACGAGAGAGCCTGTTGCCACTGAGCGCCTTTCCCGCACGCGCTGATGCCGGCGCTGAAGCTGATGACGTTAGGCTTCAACGTCGCCTCCCTCATCTCGCCGAGCAAGAACAGAGCCTGCTGCCAGTGTTTGCCTTTCTCGCACGCGCTGATCCCAGCGCTATAGCTGATGACATTGGGCTCCAGTTTCGCCTCCCACATCTCGCCGAGCAAGAATAGGGCCCGGCACCACTGCTCGCCTTTTTCGAACGCACTGATCCCAGCGCTGTAGATGGTGACGTCAAGCTCCAAAGCCGCCTCCCTCACCTCGCTGAACAACAACAGAGCCTGCTGCCACTGCTGGCATGTGCCGCACGCGCTGACCCCAGCGCTGTAGCTCACAATGTCGGGCCTCACCGTCATCTCCCACATCTCGCTGAGTAATGAAAGAGCGTGCTTCCACTCCTTGCCTTTCTCGCACGCACTGATCCCCGCACTGTAGCTAATGACATTGGCCTCCACGTTCGTTTCAACCATCTCGACGAGAAGCCACAACGCCCGTTGCCAGGTCCTGGATTTCCCGCATTCTCTGACAGATGCAATGTACTGGCCTGGCCCGATTTCCAATCGTAGTTGAGACGCATGGCGCAACGAATCCAGCGCTGCGACCCACTGGCTTGTCCTTAGAGACTCCTTGATGGTCGCTTCGAGAGTAGCTTCGAAGGTCGAAGCACCGAGGCGAAGTCCGAAGCGGATGCGTTAAATCAATGGCGATACTTAACCTCAAAGCTTGAGCCAAAAAAGCTCGGGCCAAAGTCGCTGGGACAAAGCAGGATGGCACGGAAAAGACGAGAACTCGAGCCCGAGGAGGAGGGAAAGAGGCATCTGCGGAAAGCAATTCTGCTGTGCTTGGCGGCGCGCACAAGGGGCTAGGGGGAGTGGGGAAGGCTTCCTGGAGGGAGGCTGCTTCTTAGAAGTCGGCGGCCCTACATCTGTAGACGAAGCCTAGAGCCATCTGAGAAGCAGGGGTGTTTCTAAGAAGAGGAGCGCGCCAGGGGCGGCGCCGGAGGCGCAGCCAGGGGGGTCCAGCGCGGATCCAAGAAGTCCGCGCGGACCTCCGAGTTTTTATGTTTATGTCATTGTTCGTTCCCCTGCCCCTGCCCCTGCTCCCCATCCTCCTCCTCCTCCTCCTCCTCCTCCTCCTCCTCCTCCTCCTCCTCCTCCTCCTCCTCCCCCTCCTCCTCCAGACCGGCCCCTGCGGGGCCGCCCCGCGGGCGGTGGAGGGGGGGCGGACGAGCCCGAGCAGAGACAGTCTCGCCCCGCCGGCATAGGAGGGGGGGAACGGGGCGCCACCCGTGCGGGGGCCCAGGGCCACGCCAAGAAGTAAATGGGCACAAGGGGCCCCCAGGAGGGACCCCCAGGAGGCGCCACGAGGCCCCCTCAAGAGGCCCCCCATGAGGCCCCCAAAGAGGCCCCCCAAGAGGCCCCCCAAGAGGCCCCCCAAGAGGCGCCCAGGAGGCTCCCCCAAAAGAGGCCCTCCAAAAGTCCCCCCAAGACGCCCCCCAAACGGCCCCCAAACGGCTCCCACGAGGCCCCCGAGAGGCCCCAAATCGGCCCCCAAGAGGCCTCAGAACTGCCTCCAAGGGGCCCCCGAGAGGCCTCCCACGAGATTCCAACGAACAGCCACTGGGCTACAACCACAACCCAGGCACGGTGGCGGGACTTGCCGTAGGCAGCTGGATCCGCCGCCCCCTGCTTGCAGGGGTGCACGGCGTGCTGGATGTTTCAGGTTTTGGTTTTGGTTCTTTTTCCAAAAGAACTCCCCCAGTGGGCTCCGGCACGTCCCGCCGGGGTCCCGGGAGGAAGCCGAAAGGACCTCAATCCGGAAAAAAATCCTTCAAAAAACGGCCGTTTCGCTCCGGACATCCTCAAAAAATCGCGAAGATGGCCCAAGATGGCCTCCAAGTCCGCCCGAGATGGTCCAAGACGGCCTCCAAAACGGCCCAAGAGAGTCCAAGACGGCCCAAGACGGCCCAAGAGGCCCCCCAGAGGCCTCCCAGACGGCCCAAGAGGCCTCCAAGAGGTCCTCCAGGAGAGTCCGAAGAGGCCAAAATCATTGATTTTTCCTTGGTTTTTGAAGGATTCTGGCATTTGCGCCTTTTCGGCTCTCCGACGGCTCGAGACGGCCCAAGAAGCCCCCAAGATCGCCCAAGAGGCCCCCAAGAGAGCCCCATGATGGCCCAAGTGGCCTCCAAGATGGCCCCTAGAGGGCCCCAAGAGGGCCCAAGAGGCCTCCAACACGCCCAAGATGGCCTCCCAGACGCCCAAGATGGCCTCCAAGACGGCCCTGGAGCATTCCAAGCGGGCCCCAAGTCGGCCCATAGAGGCCCCCCAAACGGCTTCCGACGGCTTCAGACGTGCCAGGAACCCACCAAGATGGCCGAAGTTGGCTCGAAGCTGGCCCGAGACGGCCCAAAAAGCCCCAAAGATCGCCCAAAGCTTGCCCAAGAGGCCTCCAAGACGGCCAAGATGACCTTCAAGATGCCCACGTGTTCCCCGAAGGCTTTCCAAACCGATTCGGGGAACACGTGGTCCGATAGCTTGGCAGGTCTGGCCTCAACGTTCGGCCACATAGGCGCTTCCAAAAAGGCAGGGGGCGGCGGTGATTCGCCGTAGGCGTCTTCGATAAATGAGCATGAAAACCAGGATCCCCCGCTCAATATTTCCTGGACGCTCGTCTCCCCCTCCACTTCCCGTACTCTCCACACCTGTCTCCTGGGAACCGACGACTGTCTGTGCCTGTCTGTTGCCGTTCCCCTCCTGAGTCTGGCCATGGGTGGCGCCATCTGGCCAGGGGGGTCGGGCCAAGGTGAGGGAGGCAGCCAAAGGGCGGGGGGATGAGAAAGCCGGCTCACGTGGCCCGTTTTCACGGCGCCTCCCAACGCCGGTAGGCGCGCCAACGCATCGAGGGAAGCGCCTGGCGGCGGGGCCGAAACCAGCTGCGAGCAGCAGAATCCGTACCCGACCGCCCCCTTCCCTTTCCAATCCCTCCCCCGTTCGTCTGAATATGACCCTTATCACCGTCCCTCGCTTTCTCCACCGCCCCCTCACCACCCCCCTCCCCCATCCACCATCCCCCTCACCGTCACCCTCCCCTTTCAACGCGCCACCCCGCACTCCGCCTCCAACCCTTCTGCCTCCCTCAATTTTCGCTCGCCTCCACCCCATCAGGGGGCGAGGACGGGCAAGGGAGAAGGGGAGGACGGTGGAGGAGGGAGGGAGAAGAGGAGAATGAGAGGAGAGAAGGGGAGTTGGGAGGGGTTGTGGTTATAGTCACTGCATGAGCGAAACCAGCCCCGAGCAGAGCAACACGCACCACGACCACGACCACGACCACGACCACGACCACGACCATGACCACGACGACGACGACGACGACGACGACGACGACGACGACGACGACGACGACGACGACGACGACGGCGGCGGCGGCGGCGGCGACGACGACGACGGAGACAAGGCGCGTTTCAAATCCGCACCGAAGCACCGACTTGGAAAAGGGCCCAACCTGCAAGGTCTCGTACACAGCACATCGCTGAGCAGTGCCGCCGCCTCCCCCCTGGGAACAGACCCTCCCCCCCGGAGCAGCAGCCAGCCATGCCAGGCTTGCACCCTCATGCCTTGCTGAGCCCGTGGGGAGCGTTTTGGCCCCATCTCCCAAAACGGGGGGGAAAGCGGTGGCCGACAACTCCGAGAGCGAAGGGAACTCTGAGCGCCGCGGCTCGGAGAGCCGGGAAGACAGACAGTCAGACAGACAGACAGACAGACAGACAGACGGGGGACGGGGGGACGGGAGGACGGAAAGCCAAGCGGCGTGCAGTGCCTAGCTAGCCAAGCAACGCCGCGAATCACCGTTACAGTTGCGTCTTGACGATCCTGAATCGCGCCAGAAGAACATGCCTGGAACTTCAGCACTGCGAGCAAACATGACTGTTACGCCCAGAAATTATGACACCGTGCTAAGACACCCCTTCTGAGACGTTAACTATGAGACTCCTTGAAGCTCTTGCAAACACTTAAGACGAATGTGCGCGGTGCCAAGGCGAGAGCCACACTTTGAAAACGAACCGCCCTCCATGCGTAAAAACCGTCAACTTTACAACGAGTGCATGCTCGCGGCGCGAATGCGAGAGCCACATTTTGAAAACCGACCGCCCTCCATCAGTGAAGCTCTTGCAAATTTCAAGCTCCAAGAATACAAATGGTGAGGAAGTCTCAGGCGAAACGCCCGGCCAGCCCATTCGATCGGGGTGCGACAGGAAGGAGTCATTCATAAGGAAAAAAGATGGAGAAGCAGGAGGAGGAAGAAGGAAAAGAGAGTAGGAGGAGACGGAGAAGGAGGAGGAGGGAGGAGAAGGGATGAAGGAGGAGGGAGGGGGAAGGAGGAAGGAATGAGGGGAGGAAGGAGGACGCGAGCTCCGCCTGAGACCATTGTTTATTTCTCGGGGATAACGCATGTTACCGGGGGGGGGGGGGGGAGGTAACGGTAACTGAGGCCGCGGCGCGCACCCCCTGAGGCGCGCCGCCTCCGTCGTCGTCGTCGTCGTCGTCGTCGTCGTCGCCCAAGCCCACAGCGCCTGTGCACACAGCACGGGCTCTGTACAACGCCTTTGTGCACAAGGGCTTCTACAAAAATCGTATGTGTGTGAACCACGGCGACTGCGTATACCTTAACAACAGCGTGCACCACGACGCCTATGTACATCGCGCGACCTGCGCACGCCACGGCGCCTGCGTGCACCACAGCCGCTGTTTCAGCACCCCGTGTGCACCACACCGCCTGCGCACACCGCAAAGTTCGTGCACGCCTGACGGCAATACCGACGGGGCCAAGCTCCGGAATGGGAGCCCGAACGTATTAGATTCAATATGTAACTTACTTGTGATTATTGATTTTTTCTGGCCCGGGGGTACGGTGGTCCGGTCCCCCCGTTTTTGGCCGACCATGTGTACACAACAGCGCCTGTCTAGCGTGCGCCACGGCGTCTGTCCAGCGTGCGCCACGACGCCATTGTACACCACAGCTGCTTGTGTACACCGCAGCGCCTGTCTAGATCACAGTGCCTGTGTACACCACAATGCCTGTGTAGAGAACACCCATGTGCACCACAACGCCTGTGTACACTGCGGTGTTTGTGCACACCACAGGAGCCGCGTGCACCACAGCGCATGACAAACATTTGCGCCACAGCGCTTTCGTGCACTTCCAAGGTCCCGCCAGGGCCCAAATCTGAAAAATCGCCCGGGGCCCGAACATATCAAATTCAATCTGTACATGATTTGTGATTATTGATTTTTCTGGACCGGGGTGCGGTACACCCGTTTTTGGCCGACCATTTTGGTGTACACCACAGCGCCTGTCTAGCGTACGCCACGACGCCTTTGCACACCACAGCTGCTTGTGTACACCGCAGCGCCTGTCTACACAACAATGCTTGTGTGCACCACAACGCCTCTGTACACCACAACACCCGTGTGCACCGCAGCGCCTGTGTACACCACACACACACACACACACACAGCCTGTGAACACGACGACGCCTATGTGCACCACGGTTGCTGCTTCAGCAGCATACTCGTGCACCACAGCTCTGGTGCACCAAACTGCGTGTGTTAACCACAGAACTGCGTACATTTCCAGGGCCCCCGGCAGGACCGAACTCCAGAAAATCGTAGGGAATCCGAACGTATCAATCCAATATGTAGGCTCATTGTGATTATTGATTTTTCTTGCGCAGAGAACGGTCCCGTCTTTTGGGCCCACAACGCCTGTGTACACCATAGCGCATGTGCGCACAGCAGCATATGTGTACACCGCAGCGCCTGTGTACACCACAAGGTGTGGTACACCGCAAGGACAGTGCAC